GAGCTCAGTGCCACAAATGAATTGTTCGGATCACTTGAGCATTTCGAAGAAAATCACGACGGAAACGAAGGAATCACGAAATTTTATTCAACAACATCGTATTCATAATACAATCTACACTCACTCTATTCATTTATACAATAAGTAACAATGCCTATAATAAAATTCTGCTTTTTACGATGTTCCAAATTATAAAAAGTTCAGAAATGCCAGTTGACGTCCATATCCCACAGAAGTCTCCAGCAATTTCAACATGACGATAAATATCACTAGCGATTGATAATGAACAATTACAATCAGCTGTACATTGAAATATACATTTGTAACCCACGGTGCTCTAGCAGCTCACTCTCAAGTGTGTTTAGAACACTATCCCAAATTCAGGATTTTAATCCATTGCATAAAAGTGAAATGGTTCCACAGAAACTCTTAGATTTTGGTTGTTTGTTCAAGAATGAAGAATTCTGTTCAAGTAGCCATCGCATAGTTGAGAAAAGGGTGTTGACTGACGGTAAGCGAAAAGAAAGAAGGCCAAAACATTTTCGAGAACATATCAACATAAACAGCAACAAAAACGAAATGTAACAATTGTTTCACAATAACATATAACGTTAAGAGAACATCTTCATTCAATGAAACTGGAATGTCCGATACAATCAACAAAATCAGAATTTTCGCAGCAATATCTCAATAAAGTTATAATTGGGAAAGATCATTCTACAACGAAAGCAACTCAATACAAACAACAATGCAGAGACGTAACATTTGTCTGTAAGACTGCAATTTACAATTTGAAAACCCTAAAACAACATATAAGAAAAGACTGTAAATGAACATGGAAACCGGAAAGAAAAGTTATCACATTGAAATATCTGGAGAATGAAGAAATGTCAGAAAAAATGATGATGATATGTGAATTTTAAGTGAAATAAGAATCGTTGAAGTGCGTGAGTGATGGTCAATAGTAATGAGAAACTGTAGCGTAAATTTTCATNGAATTTAGGGAAGCAAGTCTACATGAGTGACTGATGAAAACATCAGTGGAATGTATCGTTAAAATTTTGCATCCGAAGATTCATAACGACGACTTTTAGCTGGTCAAAAGTTGAGAATATTCATTAGCTAATTTCACGAATAACAAAATATCTCATAATAAAACAAACAATTCCAAAAAATAAGCTAATAAACAAAATTGAACTGATGCAATAATACACATATCGCGAATCTATTTAACTGCCAACTTTCCAATATTTGTTAACGAATTCCATTATGGAATCGTATATAGTGAATGTTATTGCTACATCCAAACACACCCGACTCAATCTCGGAACTGTACCTTTGTAGAATCTGAAAATCGCACCGACAAGAGTAAATATTATAACCAATAATGCAACTATCAATGAGATTTCCTTTTGACGTTAGGGCTAGAATTCTATTCTCTTCTACGCTATAATATTCATAAAACTCGAGAGCAGTTAATGAGAATTTCGAAATAAGAAAAAATATAAGTGAAAAAATTACGCGAAGAATCCTTCATTTTTCCAAATTTTGACCGCACAATCGATCGTATTCTTGTATTTTTTCGCCTCAAGACCCTGCATACGGGTTTTAACCACATCAATCGGTGTGTTGCCATATACGGAGCACGCACCCGCGATCGCACCAAATACCGCTGTTACAGGCTTATTCACGGTCTTCGAACTGTCACCTCCACGATACCTTTAATCGTAAGTACTGTGACTGCAGCACGGTGTAGGTCAAGTAATCAATTAAATTAGTTCCATTAAATCTTGTGAATAGCTCCGATGAAATGTGCTGATAATACTTTCGAATCACAAGGTATCACTTCTAATTTGTCTACAATTCAAACAACGATCACTCAAAATGCCTCAAGTAAAATAAATCCCCGACTAAAACTTTGACCTGAATGCTGGATAATTTATAAATTTACTAACCAATCCTTAAGCGTTTCCATAACGAAGAATCGAATCGCCTGATTTGTACCTTGTTTAGCCATTGTGGCCGTGACACCTTGATAAAGACCCTGGAATGACACATTTTCCTCAACCAAACTTCCAGCAACTCAAAATCAGTACTAAAGTTTCATCTGGACGACTGTAAAAGATAATAAAATTAACCCTGAATCCTTCTTCTTTAACAATCATAGTGACACCCTTCAGAAACCCTTTATATCTTGGCTTCGGTAACATCTGATCATGAACGAATTTCACTTTGACCGTCTCCATTGGAGTGACCGCGAAGACAGCCTCAGATAGACCTGTCACATTTTTTAGTTTAACGCACTCAAAAAATTTTGGGATACTTTATTACATCGAAACTTTTCAGAGCAAACTTATTAAGCTCTCAGAACAGTTCATTGCTCACAATATGCTGCAAAAGTATTTTCTGTTAGACAAAAGATAACTTGCAATCCGATGAAAGTGAATTAACGATACTGCTAAATAATCGCTCGTAAAGACAAAACAGCACTTCGCAAGACATAAAGGTTGTTTTTCGCTATAATGCCTGACGGGGGAAGAATACCAACCAACTCGTATGAATACACATGAAAGGTTCAGACATAAAGTGTATTCTTACCTGCTCCTAAACCACACAGCATACGCATTATAGGTGGTAAATTGCCTTGTTCATCTACAGCGTGTCCTTTAAGGAACTCAAATGTTCCGAACCTTCAACAGAATAAATGAACAACCTCATTTTTCAATGTCTTTATTAGACTTTAGATTCATGATTACAGGTGTGTGATTCAATCTCGGTGAGAGAAAAGATTAACCAATGCAGAGAACAAATCAGACCTGAATCCAGATTTTGGTATTGAGCCATAGATTAAAACAGATAGACCTCTATAAAGACCAAAGAATCCCTTTGTTCGGACGGTTTTCTTCACGCAATCTATCGGACCCTAAAAATTCTTTCCTGTGGCAAATTCGCTTGTTTCTTCAGGAGATGTGAAATCAAAGAATTGACAGTTACGATATTTATTCGTAAACTCATTTTTAACATTCTGAAATCTCGGATATGTAACAATTCCATCAAACGCTTTCACACTTCACGAGTGAGTGTCGGATATGTACACGTCAGAATACCCGGTTTTCATGCAAATTTCAAGTAACACCGAGCTTTGATGGCTGCTTTCCAAGTGCAGTGTAAACAAAACCTCATTAGATACCATAAATTTAGTCTTAAGTCCTCAGCAATTTCATGATTTTTTGGCATTCCGAAAACTTCTTCGTAATTTTTGAATATTTGAAATGAAACCTTGAATTGTGGATGTGCAGATCGCTCATCAAGTTGCAACTGTGTTTTAACGTATTCGGTTGGGAATGTGATGCATATTTCGATACCGCCCGTTAAACCACCAATGAAAACACCTTTAATTGTTCGATCAGACGGAAGAAAACGCTTGTAGAGTGGTGTGGATTTGGCAATCGGTGCTGATAAACTTAAAATTATAGCTGGATTTCATTTACGTCAGCAAATAATCCTGAACAATTCTTGAGTTTGCTGAACTGAGATTTCAAATGAGCAATAAGTATTGGTGATGTTCTGCTTTGTGCTTATCGCTCTGAAAAGTAAAAATGTTCACCTCAGTAATCTATTTATGGTTATTGCTATAGTAATAAAGAGTTACATCTTGCTAGATACTAATATTTTACAATGCATAAAATATTAGTTATAATTCATATGCCCAAAGAGCACTAGGAGTAAGTCTCGTTTCTTAACAATATTGATTATCAATATGATCGGCAAAGAAGAAGTCGAATGAATCACAAACAAGTTCAATTTCTCAAGCATCTCCTTGAATGGCATCCCTATAGAGAAGTATACTATGAAAAATTCTAACAGTGAAATTTATTTGAAAGTATAATATTCGAAATGAACTGAATTTCAAACGAGTAGAATGAAATCGCACGTTGAAACAGTGGTTGGTAGTTGCGATGGCAATACTGTTGCAGTTACAGCAGACTGAGGAGCACTATTCGGAGAAGCCATTATTGCTAGGTTAGTGCGAGTTAGAAGTGATTTGAGTTATGGTGCGCACAGTTCGAAGTAGTTTGATACCACTGACGTACTCCACACACCGATCCAAATGATTACCCTTTAAAGGTGCATCAAATGTGTTATGATCTATCGTTTGGATCATTTGATCAGCAATGTAAACGCTTCATATCAATTTTGGCATCGCACAAAACATTCCAGTTTTGACCTTCATTTAACTGATATTTTAGTGATGGCAATAATATTGCTTCCAGTGCCTTTAACGCTGAACTACGCAAACCTGATTAGATTTAGTGTGATTTAATGTAGGAAGAATTAATTCCTACATTAAAGGTGGAAAAAATTGCGCGGTGAATTTCAATGTGTCAGTTTGGCAGAATATTATTTTCTTATAAAAAATGTCACGTTAGAAGGAATAATGAACGGAAATGTATGAAAGGTAGAAATCGATTGGTGAAGATTAATACACGCAAAGAATATTTCGTAAACAAGTTCGAAGTATGGTTCGAAAAGTGAAGACCAACAGTAGCCATGAAGGAAATGTGCAACAAACAACAACATCAGTTTGATCTATAAAAAGATAATCCGACAATGTGTTCGATTTTACATCAGTTATCAACCGGCAATGATTTGATCAATTAACAAATAAACACAAAGAGCACAAAACTTGAAACAATCAGAGTTAGCATTCGGCATCAACCTTCACTAAACTGCTCTATTAAGAGAATCTTTCGATCAATTGAATCAGAATGGTATGACACTAATGAAATGTATTATGCATGTTTGTGAGAAAATAATGACTGCAATAATTGGCAATAAATTATATTGATTTGCACTATGATATAATGCAGTGGATCGTATTTCGCATTTGTACATTTCAGAATTGCAAAAAGTGAGGTATATCGATGGGAATAATATTAATGAGGTAAAAAACCGGTTGTCGATATGTTTGACAATTGAATGAAATGGCGCTACCTCCGGTTATGGGCATCGAATCCATTTTTGAAATGATAACATGAAGTTTGGATTCATATTCAAAATATGGTCATAGAGTTGGCTATTTTTACTTTGAACAATTTTAGAATGCGATAAATGAATAAATTAAATCAAATAATGGCATGAATAAACCAAATAATACTGACGATATGCAAAATGAAGCAAAAATAATGCTGAAATTACATTAGGTCTAGATTAAATGGAGATCGTCGTTCCTGGTACGCAAAGAAAATCGAATGCACAATCACCACATTCAGCAGTAAAGCATGTTATCACGTTATTCACATATTATCAGTTCATAACAACCCACAATAGTAGNGGTGTAAGACGTACTTAATTACTATCGCTGATAACACACATGCACACATACAATATTCCCTCAATGATCTATCACTCAGCCATTTGATTTTACTATCAATATGTTTATTATCAGCAGTTTTTTGTCCAAAGAAGATGAATACTAGTATTGAACTGAAGTTAGAAGACGAAGATTCGTTGAGTTGAATTTTTTGAATTGAAGATTCACTGAATGATGATCATTTTCCAACCTAATTCATCAACTTTTCCTCACATTCAGGTAGAATTTTTCAAAAATGATTGAAAATTTAGTACGAACAGATTTTCATCAATAGTTTGTTGATGGTAACATAAAAAATCTATGTTGAATATTCCAACATCAATTTATATGACGTGATCTCGTTCATATTTTCGACTTCATTATATACACATGATAAAAATCGCTGAGAATAAATCCTCGCAGTGCGATTATTTTAGTTTGCAAAAGGCAGTTTTGAACACAGCAATACGGTGAATGATAATTGGCTGTTAATCATTGCAAAATACACGGAAAAATACGACGTAGAAAATCTGAAAAGAGAAGATTTCTGTTTGATTCAATGAAATATTGAAATTTGTAAATTCTAATGTCATTAGATGAATTTTGGAAAGTTTATCTAGTAGTGTTCATCATATAATCATTGTAATATTAACGTTTAATGAAATAAAAATATACCTTTCCAGGTCTGATATAAATTTCGCGTGCATTTGAGTGATTTTTGCACTTCAAACAAACTATTTCCTACTGATATTCCACATGAAATCATCACTCTGCATGATATTCTATTTGAAAAAAAGAAAAAAAAANAAAAAAAAACAGGAACTATGAGAACAACTTTAACATATATTTTGAACAGAAAATGCGTCAGATTATACCCGATTATTATTGCTACTTTTGATGACAAAAAGGAAAAGATTGTTTAAAAAATCAAAAAAATTGTCTTACGAATCGAAGAGCAAATTGATTTTTCATCGAACAACACGACAAGCACTCATAATCGCGTTTATCTTTTGATCATATAATATTTCACTTCACAATTTTTATTACATCATTTTATTACATTTCCCTTTGGGATGAAAACAATTCATTGTGTCAAAAATTTATTGTTAGACTGCACGCAACGTGACTGTGGATTATATTTTTAGAACTAATGTATCGTTTCCAAAAGGGAGAATGGCTTGAAAAATTTCTCAATCTGCGAACATTCGAATTGATTATTTCGAGTGGTAGTGAAGTAATTCGTTTTTAGACTGTATCGTTACAAACAATGCATGATGCAGTGGAAATGCTTATTGTATCGAATGAAAATGACAACAAAGCATTGAATAAATCAATTCTCATACATTACAAAATACACCCTATTCACTATTTATCACGAACAACGCATAGTGCAATCGCAGAATGAACAGAAACGATCGCAGTCAATAAAACTTCCTTCTTTGCACACTTCCTCTGGTGTTCCTTCTCACGTCTGCTCTTATTATGGACGATCCAAGTTGATTGAGATTGTTCAACCGTTCCAAATTGGAAATAATTTTGCGCGTGGTGCGATTTTAGGGAACAAACAAATGTTCATGAAGTAACACTAAACAAACGAAATTTCAAAACCATCTGACTTCAGCTTTAAGTGTTTATTACATTTCATAATATTAAATGAATACTCCTCTGCGAGATATTGAATTTTACATTTACAGATATTGCAATCAATTGAAAATTGATGTATCGAAAATTATTCTGCACAGTGATGCTTATCATTTTAATTATGATCGGTTGTCTTAAAAATAAACGTTATCATTTACCATGCTATATTCCTTACGTCATTAATTTTTAATTGCTATTTTTAATTGTCATTTTTATTACTGCATGCATAATTTGATCATTTATAACGCATTTTTTCGCTCTCAACGAAACTGCTAGACCAACTATTCCAACAATCTGCCAACAATCTACTAATATGTCACTGAACTATCAATCTACCAGTATCTTCAGGTGACAGTGAACATTTCACTGAAACAACGTGTTCTAATCAAATTCCGGTATGAATCAATGAGCATCAAAATGAACATTTGGTGACTAATGCTAATAAAAATTGATTAACGTAGTGAATTTATCAATTGGTCAATCGTTTTATTGTGCAGAATATGCATACCATGAATAATTGGATTTATTGCTTTTTGAAATATATGTATGTTGAGGTGCAAAATGAAAAAGTTTATGCGACGATGAAGCCATCACCAGACAACCTCAGACTTAAGTAATTAACGGTTGATGACTATTACCTACCTCTACGTAAGTAATTACTCATTTTAATCACCCACCTTTGAGGTTGCCTAATGATGACTTCATGAGTCAAAATATCGCATAAACCTTTTCATTCCGAACTTTAACATCCGTACGTATGAAAAAGCAATAGAGATGCAGAACAATTATTTATATCGGATTAATGAATGTATCGTTGCATTTGGTAATGGAAACGTGACTATGACAACATGAATCATCAACATGAAATTGATAAATAATTCTGTTTTCTGTGGTTTAATCAGCTGGTTCGCTATTTCAAAATGGAAATGGACCTTCTGTCGCAGATGAATGTACATACAGGCTTGATAAATCATCATTCAAGACTCATGAAAATTGTATGGTTCGATGCTATCTTGGATACCAAGTGCTCTTCTGCCAATTATTTGAGGACTGAGATCATCTTTATGATCATCGAGGTCATGGATCAAACAACCGATCAAACAAAAAAAAAACGAATTTTACGCTTATCGTTATGGAAAAAATTGGTTGCCGAAAAGTTTAAATTTATGATCAAAAGAATACATAGAACAATCCATCTTGAACTACGAAATGTGACAAGCAGAGGGCTCGCGAAAAATATGACAATTGTGAAGTGTTCTGAACACATTATAACAAAATTTATAAAAAGGTAAAGTGGGGATCGTGGGTATATGGGATATATGGAATATATGGAAATGGGATATATAGAAGTAGGAGTCCTCGCAAAATTTATCAGGGAAACCATTTTCGACTATACTCCACTTAACTGAGTGATTTTATCACACCACAAAATTCTCTGTAGAGTTGATCTTTATGTTGATCAATAATGCACTAATGTAAGAATATCAGCAATACCATTTTTGAGCTATTTCTATGCTGAGGCTTGCTCATCAGTATCATGTTTTAAAAAAATGTAATCGAGTCAGCAAATTCAATAGTATCAAAAAGAATGCAATGCACAATATTAGATTGTAATGACGAATTGGAACACAAAACTTTGAACTGCAATAACTCGCCTCAGAATCAACAGTTTTCATTCAAAAAAAGCACATTCGAAACAACATAACTTTGGCAAACATGTGTGAGAGGATTTATAGCTTTAAGGTTAAAATCGATAGTGTATTAGTCGATAAACTGCTGAACGGCGTTTTTAAGATCATCCATATTTTTGAGCATATTCGAATGCAATGACGCATCGAGCACCTGGAAAAAGTGGTAACCAATGGCCAAGACCTCGACGCCTAACTCTGTCAGTTTTTCAGATGATCTTCAAAATATGAGATCTCAGGTTAGTTTGAAATAACTCAAGTATAGTTGAATTTTTTACCGAGTTCCACCGAGGTGAAGTCGTCGTAAAGCCTCTCTCTGAACATTTAATAGT